TTCTTAAAGTATCCGTAGTCAAGCTTTAATGTGAAGTGGGATAATATTAAAGCATTAAGATTATTATGAAGATAGATTGATGATCACATCTCATGGATCATAGATAAGGAGTTATCAAGTCTTGACATAGGTATGAATATTAGGAGTAATATTTATACTGGATTGACCCGCTATGAGAATACTACATAGAATGTTATGCAAAGTGTCATAAGTTATTCTCATGATGATAATGGTGTATACCACCCTTCGACCTGAAACCACTATGGACCCTAGATGTAGAGTCAAGTACTTTATTATTGATCAAACGTCATCCGTAACTGGATGACTATAAAGACGGTTGATGGGTACTTCACAAAGCATGCTAAGGGACATGAGTGACCTATATGGAATTTGCTCATCATGCATAACAGGATAAATGTCTAAGGGCCCAATATTGAACTAGACAAGGTGACCCAGTGTATGCCTTGTGTTCAATATAGACATGAGGGCAAAAGGGTAATTGTACAACACAAATATTATCACAGAAAAGGTTTGGTCAGATCACATGACATTTTCGTGACTTGGGTAACAGTGATGTGTTGCTAGATACCGCTCACTGTTTATTATATTAAATGTGTGATTTAATATAATTGTCAACGTCGCGAAAACCTACAGGGTCACACACATAAGGATAGGTTGATGAGAGATAGAATAAATAAGGAACACCGTAAGGTACGGTGCACTTAAATGTAATACGGAAAGTGGTAAGGTACCACGTGGATAAGTGATATATGGTACATCATAAGGTATGATGTCCATAAGCTTAATTGGGCTTTTAGCTTATAGCCTTAATTGGGCTTTTAGCTTGTAGCCCACACGAGTGATTCTATAAATAGATCCCTTGTGATGAAGCAATTTCACTTGATGCAATTTCGTTTTTGATTCTCTCTCTCACTCAAGGTTTCCGTTCGTGATCAGCTAGCACTGTTACCGGAAGCGATCTATTCGTGTGGACTGAGTAGAGGCTTTGTTCTTCATCAACGCTCGTGATCACAACATCGAAGGTCTGAATCTCCACAAGAGGTAAATATTTCTATCACTGGCCATGCTCATTCGTAAGGATCGCTAAAGGAAAATTTTAAATTCCGTTGTGCTTTTGATCGCAATTTTCCTTCACAGTATACTTTGATTATTTCTCTAAGTTATACTATTATGTTGAGGTGTATTGGGTGCAATGACCTCGTGATATATACCTCCCTCATTGTAGAATTTTTCAAATTCTCTAGACGTGTATTCATCACCATCATAAGTTCTCAGTTTCTTTAACTTGCATCCACCTTGTTTCACAACATGCAATTTAAACTTCTTGAAATGTGTTAATACCCCACTCTTCCTTTCAATAAGGTAAATCCATATATATCTGGTGAGTTCTGTAAAAACAAGAAGTGTTTCTATATTTGGCCTTAAGATTTTGATGATAACTTTATATGGTATCATAAAAAACAATTGTATACTATAATGGTTTTGTTCTAGTGTATAGTTGTTGTTGTAATATTGTAACTCTGATATCAAGGCGTGTGACATCATCAGGTTCTGTACATAAACACTATTGAAAGAAAACATTTGGTTACATGTTACAATTAAAGTCAAGATTCTGGAATTCGTCTTATGCAACGGTTCTTAGGAACCTTAGTACAAGAGGGTGGCGTAAGGACAGTCCTTTCGTACTATATTGTGCACCACTTTCATTATGACTGTTGGGAACAAACAGTTGGATTTACAATTATCTTTCTACCATTTCAACGGATTTCTTTTACAAGCTATAAAAGGAAGACTTGGAAAGTAAAGAAAAGTAAGAATCAACATTACAACGAAAAATTTATCGGATTAAATCAAGCTCAAACAAAACTAAACTAAGGTGTTGTGCAACTCTTTAGAGAAATCTTCTGTGTATAGTTTTGTAAATAGGCAAGGAGTTGTTGCTCGTATATTGATGTAAAACACTTAGGTGTTTTTCTTTGTAATCAAACATTTGTGTAATCTGCTTATAAGAAGCAAACTATAATACACTGAAAGTATTCAACAGTTGTTGATTGATTCCTTGAGTGACCAAGTGAAGGTATGATCTCAAGAAGACTCTTGTTGCGGTTTGAGTGGATTCACAATAAGGAATGACGGACTTATTGGGAGTGCCAATAAGGTTGATCTTACTTATTATGGGTTGGTAGGAATCGATTTGGTTATAGTGGATTAAGTCTTGTTAAAGGCAAATCACCTTGAGGGATGAACTGGAGTAGCTTAGTTAACAGTGAACCAGGATAAAAATAATTATATTCATTTATTTTTACGTTCTAAGTTAACTTGGTCTTTCATCAACGAAAATATTTAATTAACTTTGGTGAAACCCAATTCAAACCCCTTTTCTTGTGTTTCTCATATTTTCAAATTCATCTATCAAAGTTAGGAAGTAGAAATTACCTTCATTCAACCTTACTTAAAAAGGTCCACACACAATAGAGTAAACTAACTCTAGCTTTTCCTTCGACCTCATGGACAAGTCATGCTTGAATGTCATCCTAGCCTACTTTACTTTACAATATTCTTCACATACTTAACTTGGTTCTTTCATCTGAGGTAAGTCATACACCATATTATTCAAGTTAAGCATACCCAAACTTCTAAAGTTTAGATGCTCATACCTCTGATGTCATAGCCAGTTCTTGTCTTCTTCTGTAATCGAAGCAAGACATTTATGATTAATCGTGTGGGTTTCTAATTTGAAGGTCTTGTTGTCTACCAATGGGGATTTCAGAATCAACCTTTCATCACCATCATAAACCTTAACCTAATTCTTTTCTAGCTTCATGTTGTATCCTTTAGCAAGTAATTGGCTTATGCTTATCAAGTTACTTGTCATCGAAGGTACATACACATCAGTGATGTTGGCTTTTCGACCATCCTTTATAACCACAAATATATTTCCTTTTCCACCTGATGTGACGTGCTTGCCATCTGCAAACTTGATCACTTTCTTGGCTGATTCATCTAACTTGGTGAACCGGGTTTTATTTCCAATCATGTGGTTGTTTCATCCTAAATTTAGGTACCACGTGTTAGTTTGCTCATTGTTTGATTGAGTATTTGCCATCAGTAGCACATCATCATAGTCACTATCTCCAGTAAGTACATATTGCACTTCATCATTACTTTTTGTTCTTGCTTCCTTCTTTCTTCGACAGTCTCGGGCATAATGACCAAATCCTTAACAGTTGTAACATTGCACCTCCTTCATGTCAACTTTATTTTCCAAATATTTGTTGCCCATAGCTTGCTTGGTTGAATCATAGTGATTCTTTGAATTCTTGCTTGGCTTCTCATCATTAGCAAGATTTTTCTATATTTTACCTTCTCTTTTCCATACTTCTTGATAAATCTTGCTTGCAGTGCCTGTTCACCCGCTTTCTCCCTTTCTGAGTTGCTTTGCTTCAGCCTCATCTCATGAGCCTCTAATGAAGCTTAAAGTTCTTCTAACTTCATCTCATCTAGGTTCTTGGACTCTTAAAGAGACACTACAATATAATCAAAATTTACAGCCAAAGATCTCAACACTTTCTCAATCTTTTGCAAATCGTTGATTTATTCCCCACACGCTTTCATCTTATATGTTAACAGCAACACACGTGAAAACAATCTGAGACTGATTCATCTTCTTTCATCTAAGTCATCTCGGATTGCTTTCTCAACTTCTGCAACTTCACCCTCTTTAATTTTTCATCTCCTCCGTACAAGTTCTTCAACTTGTCTCATACTCTTTTGGTTGTTTCCTCTCCAATGACCTTCTCGAATACGTTATGCTCCACACACTAGTGAATCAAGAACAAAAAATTTCCAACTTTCTTCTTTTGATCATTGTGCGTAACTTTCTGAACATCATCTACATTCGCGTCTAATGCAGGTACTCCATCATTCAACTTTAGACACATCTTAAAAATGAAGATGAACTTCATTTGCGCAACCCACCTCTCGTAGTTCTCATCATTGAAAATCGGTAGATTCGCTGAAAATTATAATTATGTTGTTGTTGTTCTCTTTGTCATTATAGATTCTCTCTGAATCACAATTCGGTTCCCTTGATATCAATTTGTTGGAACAATTCAGATTTTCATGAAAGATATGGATGAAGATTGAAGAGATAAAAGGGGAGAATTTCAAGAATTAGAGAAATTCTCTATGAAATTGTTAAACTATTAAGTGTATAAAACTATACAACGTCATGCCTATTTTAGGCAATCAAGGCCCAAACCCAAAACATACAACTCAAGTCCAAAATATACAAAGTTATATTTTGACTTTGATACAACAACTATATGTTATATTCGACTTTGTCGAATACAATTAACTTCTATACTACGTCGACTAGGTCGAACACACCTATGACAAATCCAGTCTTTCCGTCAATTTCACGTTTATTTTTCTTCGAAACATGACAATTATGTGAAACAAACCGTGTGTTGCGCTACAATGCAATATACCTCAAATCACTATTACTAACCCTATGTACATGACATTCACAATTATTATAAATTTGATTATCTTTAGGTAGGGAAAGACAAACAAGAATGTTATGAAGACTCTTTCTTAGAAGGAGTCTATAACAAGCCAACAGTGTCCAACTAGTTAACTTTGAAATGAATTGCAGATAAGAATCTATATAATATTCTATAATATGATGATGTATGTAGAATTAACATGATGATTTAGCTGCAAAAACAAAAGCCAAAAAATAATCATTGATGAACATTTTATTTTTATCTTATTGCCTATTATGCTGACATGGCAAAAGCCATGACATACCTTAATCGATATACCTTCTATATATCTCTGTTAGACTTTACTAATTACCAATATATAATACCATTTGACTTTTTTATTGCTTGTACTTAACTTGGATGAATGGTTTTCAAAATATGCAATCTTCATTTTAGTTGGTTTGTTCTTGTTCTTGTTCATCTAAAATAGCAATGAACTTCTTGAACTTCTTCTTTCACTTGTTCATATTATTTCCTGTCATGTATACTTTAGAAAACTCCTGTCAAAATTCTTGGTGTAGTGAGAATAACATCCTTATTCGTTTCCCTTTTCTATTAGAAGCTGAAGGTGATCAAGAATATCCTTATTGTGGTTATCCGGGTTTCGAATTAAGTTGTACTAATGATAGCAGAACAATTCTAACACTCCCTTATTCAGAAGTGTTCTATGTTCGCGAAATCGATTACCTTCGACAATATATACAAGTCTATGACCCGCATCATTGCCTTCCAAATCGTCTTCTAAGTCTTAACCTTTCAGGTTCACCTTTCGTTACCAGATTTCTTACTAATTACACTCTCTTGAGCTGCTCAACTCCAAACATTGGATCACAGTTCATACCTGTTGACTGTCTAAGCAATTCTACACATTTTGTATCGGTTATTCCTTCCTTGAGCTTCACCAATTCATTGCCCGAGTCTTGCTTTATAGTTAGAAATCTCTCAGTTCCAAGTGATAGTTCATATCAGGATTTTTTCTTAAACAACCAGATCAGTGAGGATTTTGAACTAACATGGTCTTCACCGAATTGTAGATATTGCGAATTACAAGATGACATGTGCGGATTCGAGAGCAGAAATAGTGATCAAGTTCGCTGTTTCTCTAATCAACAAACAAATCATCAAACGGGTAACTACTGAACTTTTTTGCATGTCAACTCATTTGTTTGGGGATTCATGACATGAAAAATTGATGAATTCAGCAGGATGCATGCAAATTGAAAGTAGAAAGTCATGTCAATCCTTCTGTTTTTTATAACAGATACTGACTTATTCATTGATAATTACTCAACTTTTCCGTTTTTAGGTCATTCAAAAGACGACCTTTTGATTTCTAGAATCATCATATTATGTGTTGGAGGAACAGCTTTGTTGTGTGCAATTGGGACGGGATGCTTAGCATGCTACAGTCGCGGGAGGACAATATCAGATGAACCTGCCATTAACATCAACATTACAAGGATGGGGGTGGGTCTGGATGAGTCAACAATTGAATCTTTTGAGAAGATTGTATTAGGCGAGAGTCGAAGACTGCCGGGAGTGGAACACAATGATGGAACTGGATGTTGCCCAATATGTCTCTCCGAGTACAACAGCAAGGACATAATCAGATGCATTCCTGAATGTAGACACTGCTTCCATGCTCATTGCATTGATGAATGGCTTCGCATTAACACCACATGCCCAATTTGCCGTAACTCACCCTCTCCTCATTTTCCATGAATCAATTTATACACCCATTGGACATCACTACCAGAGGTTACATTCTCATGAATGTTTGTTGAATTTATTCTCAATGGCTTACATTTTGTAGAATTAACTTCATAATGTTTCAAGTTAGCTTAAAGTAAATCGATGGCAAAAAGCTTGCATAAAATTTTCACAGCTGCAAATACTTTTTTTCGCATTTTTGCTAAAACAACAACGATAAAACAAACATTTGTTTGATTGTCATGATTATACTAGCTGCAATCTTATACTGTTTTACAATCTAAGTGTTCATCAAACAAACTAAGACTTTGATTATACATTGTTCAGCTTTCTTTTGCCAGTTTGGTAGCATGATTATTGCACTGGAAAAACAGAAGGAACATAAAATGGACCCATTAGTCTGTTACGCAAACCAGTACACAATTAACTGTTAAACAAAAACGTAGGATCCGTTTAAAAATACTGTACATAAAAGGATCTTCTCAGATGACAGATGCATATCAATGTACTGTTCATTTCTTCGCTAGCAGTTTCTTTGGAAGTTTATCCAGGGGTGTCGATTTTAAAAGAAAAAGTCTGGCAGCACGCTCCTGCAAAGTACCTCCGCATTTCAGTCCCCGTGACTGGAGTTCAGTCTTCAACTTTTCCAATCCAAGAACCTGTGAGATCAATATCCATGGATATACATCAAATTCAGAGCCTACAAGTTTAACACATCACTGTACCTAGTCTATAAACGAGATGACTTGTCTTTTATCCAATCATATACATGGGTAAAACTACATGTTCGTCACACAACATGCTATCAGTGTTATTAATAGCAGATTGCAGCGGATCGCCATAAATCCATAAATTCGATATGAGAAATAGCAAATAACATAGCGGGTAAATAGCAAAATCCGCAAAGCAATTGAAATATAAATAATTGTATATTAAATAAAGCATGTTGCACACAAATAAAAGCTGCATAAACATAAATTAAAAAAAGTAATTAACATAAAACTCAAAAGCTCAATATTACAAGCAATTAACAAAGCATGATGCACAGTTGCATACATTGCATGAAGGAGATGAAGGAACAAAATGAAGAATAAAGTGGTTACTTGATGCTTGAAGCAGAACAATTACTTCTTTTTTTAGGCCGGATTCTCTTCACATCGGTAGTTGTAATGATGTTTTATTGCTTTAGGTATTATATATAATACCCACTAGCCGACTCACCACTGTAGGTTTTGAATTTAATTTTTTAGTTTCAAACAATTTGACCACCACTTTAGGTTTTGTAATTTTGTAATGTTTTAAAAAGGTTGACTGCCGCTAAAACACAAAACTCCACTATTTATTACGTACTGCTATAACTGATTTATCAAAATGTGTTGCTATACTGCTAATAGTAGAATTGACATATCATATTGGCTACCCCAAATTCCGATACATAATTTAACAACACTGCATTCAATTCTACAAGTTAGATATAAACTCTATTCCATAAGTTTGAAAAGAAATATAAGTATCGGGGGATTTCTATTTTTTTTAAATACAGTTTGCAAAAGTTTTGCATAAAAGTTGTCATTTGTATGGAATAAATGAGGCACATAAACATATCAAAGCGTATAACACCACAAAAGCCATCAATATGTTTCAAAACCATACCTCAAGTTCTGCAGCTGAATTAAAAGCATCAAAATTCAGAGGCTCTTCCTTTGCTGGAACAATAGTGCTTGGCACGCTTTCTTCAATGACAGCTGGTTTATGCCCAAGAGAACCGTCAATTTCCATGTCATTAGGCACAATTTCAGAGCTCACAAGATCTGTGGCTTGAGTAACAGTGTCATCAACCTTGTAATCCTGACAGACAATATCTTGAGCACTAATTCCAGAATCCAACATCTCTGAACAAGGAACAGCATTAGCCTCAGCCATGTCATCATTTATCATGGGTTCAGCAGAAACACTCAGTTTTGCCTCAATAGTTTCATTGCTTTGGGGGGATCCTTCAACAGTTTCCACTTTGCCTTCTTCTACAACTGTTTCCTTTTCTTCTTCAGATCCACTCTCACACGATCCAACCCCAGAAGAGCCTCCATCCCTCTTTAGACCAGTCACAGAATCAGAACTATCGTCAGCTTTGTTTAACCGAGACTCGTTCTGACTATTTAACAAAACAGATTTCTCAGTTTCTTCCTCAACATCATTAACATCTTCATCAGAATCATCACTACTGTCACTGTCACTCAGTGCCCTCTTCCCCATCCTAGAAAATCCAAACACAACACAGAACAAATATAAATACCAATCCATAACATTAAAAATTGACTCAAGCAAACAAACACATCCAGGTTTCATGTTAAACCTAGAATCACATGTGGGTTAGTCAAACGATTTGAAGTCCCGTTAAGCCAACTCAGCTTTGGTAGCTCTACAGGGACATCAGATGGGGCGCGGGTTTGAACACGGAACATCCCACTTATTCATCTTTAAAGGGTGAAATTCCAGCCACTATACTATTTGACACAAAAAAACTTAATTTTAACCTATATTGTTATGGGCCAGTTTGTTTCAGCTTTAAAAAATGGATTTTTTTTCCTCTATATTTTTGAAAATAGATTTTACAAAACCGTTTTTCAAAATATTACAAGTTTTTTTATATTCGTTTTTTCTAAATTGAAACACTAATTTTGACATCATATAACTTAAACATACATTATTGAAGACCAAAATATAGTAAAAATCGCAATTTTTTCATAAAGTTGTATTTCAAAAATCATTTTTATGAAAATCTATTTGAAATAGCTTCAAAATTAAGTGATTTTTTTAAATTTTGATATCCAAAAAAAGTTTCAATAAGAAAATGAAATACCTAAAATAACATTTTAAGAATAACTATACAAACCAAATTTTCATTTGAAGCTTTTATGAAAAGTTTCTTTGTAAAATTTTTTTATACAAAATTGTGTAACACTATAAAAATCATTTTTAAAAAAAGCCAAAACAAACGGGCCCTTTGTTAGGCCTCCAGCTTTAGAATTGATTTCAGTCAACCTTAAATATTTCTAACTTCTACATCAACACGCAGGCAATTCTGATCGGACCAAAACTATCCAAATATAAACTGATAAAAATAATTTGTTTCCCGAATGTATCCAAACACAAATCATTTTACATCAGCTCAAGTTCAATGAAAACCAATTTAATAAAATCATATTTTTATAACTACAACCAAACATACACTAACTTATTTTGTTAACCACTGCCTTCCTAATAATCCATACCAGATAACAATTGTGCCTTCCTAATAATCAATACCAGATAACAACTGTGCCTACCTAATAATCAATACTAGATAACAATTGAGAAATACAAACCAAAACTAAGATAAGATGAGATAGCTTACCATATCTTCAATTTCTTGGCATCGCGAGGATGAGGAGCTTCCGATATTGTTGAAGACTTACGCTTAGAATTTCTGAGAGATTCCTGAACAGACAAAGCAACATCCGCAACACATCGTTCAGATTGTTCCCTATATTTAGCAACATACTTCTGAGCCTCACCCTCAACACCACCACTCTTCCCCTTCCCCTTATTCTTCTTCATCTGTTTCTTCAGAAAATCCTCAGCAACCTTCTCAAGCTTCCTATCCTCTTCACCTTCTCTCCATTCCTCCAACCTCTTCTCCGCATTAACATGTCTCAATCTTCTTCCACTCATATCCCTACACGCATCAAAATTGTTCGTCTTCTTCTGCCCCGCTTTCGTCGCCGCCCCACGCAACAACGATCCGAATCCTCCCTTCCCGCCTTTCAGACGAAGAAGCAGACGCACCGAGGGGAACATGTTTCCTTCTTCCGGCGAACAGCATATCGCCGATTTATCGTCGTTGAGGTGGCGGCAACCGGTGACGAGACGCTGGTGTTGGATTGGGATTCCGGTGAGATGGAAGAGACGATCTTTGATGGAAGTTGCGGAAAGGATCGGAGATGGGAATAATAGGGTTAGGGTTTTACCGTTCAAGTGCTTCACGAAGAGGTTGTACATTCTGTGGCTATTTTCTTCTTCCATGATGGAATTTGGGGAAATCTTCTTGAAATTAGGGTTTTGTGTGAATTCGAGTTTCAGGGACAAGAATGAATTATCGTACTTGTAGCATCTCGCTCCGTGTTTTTATATTTATATTATCTCAATAATTAATATAGTACTTTAGATATTTTTACAATTTTTATATAAAAGAATATGAGAGAAATGGGGGTATATATGGACCGTTTATCAATCAATTATAATTAAGCTAAGTGATAAATTATGTACGAAGGGGGGAAGGAGTCCTCCCACATCGTCACATCGTCATGAGCATCTCGCGGCCAGAATATTTTTACTTCCCAGATATGAGAAACATTCTATTGTATTTCTCCTCTCACAGTCTATGGGAGTCGTTCTGCGCTGCTATGATTATCTCTGGCGGGAGATTCAACAATCATACAGTGGGATCCGTGAAAAGAAGATTCGAGCAATTCATCGAAGCCAATTCTGACATGGATGCCACACTGGACAAGTTCCGAGGAGGCTCTCATCCCCTCGTTTTCTACAGGGAGGAACTACCGGGCGGAGCCCCCAACTCGACCATCCCACTACTCATAAGGGCCCGCATGGCAAACTTCGATGTGTGATGTATCCTGGTCGATCAGGGTAGCTCGGTAGACATCATGTACACCCAGTTGTTCGCTACCCTACAGCTGAATGAAAGCCATCAAGACCCAAATTCTGGTAGTGGATTGTCTGTCTCTCTACCACTATATCTTCGGGAGACTCACTCTCTCCAACTAATCGCAGTGCCCTCCACCGTGCACCTCAAGATGAAGTACTACACTGCTGAGGGTTTGGTCGCCACCCTCCACGGAGACATCCAGGCAGCGAGAAGATGTTTTGAAGCCTCAACCAGAGGCCTGAGTTCCATCAATGTTCAACCACGAACGACCATTGGGGCCACGCTACCCTCCAGCTCCGAGGAAGCCAAGCCATTGTCGAGGGTCGACGCCATCGACCTCGATAATCGCTTCTCCAAAGAAGATCGTGCAAAATAAAGAAAGAAGGGGAAAGAGCCCATGGTCGAAGGCGAAGGTCCAATTCCATCTGCAAATAGCAAGGAACTCTCAAATCTCGTGCGAATTATCCCAGACGGAGATTTCGAACTCGTCCCCCTCAGGAGCGATCCCACTAGAGGAGTGAAGATTAGAGTTGATCTCCCCGACTTAGCGAAGAGGCAACTAAAAGCTTACTTAAGGGAGAATGCAAATTTGTTCGCATGGAGTGCGGCTGAGATGCCCGGATTGGATCCATATATTGTATGCCATCACCTGACCATAGATCCTGCCCTCAAAGCGGTCGCCCAGCGCAGGAGAAAACAGTCCCCTGAAAAAACAGAGGTTGTCGAACTAGCTGTAAAAGAGCTCCTAGAGGCACATTTTATTTCTGAAGCCCAGAATACAACATGGCTCTCAAATGTAGTTCTCGTGAAAAAATCTAATGGAAAATGGCGCATGTGAATTGATTATACTGATCTCAATCGAGCTTGCCCGAAATATGTTTATCCCCTCCCCAATATTGACAAGTTGGTCAACAACTCGTTCGGTTTCAAATTATTATCTTTTATGGATGCATATTCTGGTTACAACCAGATTCTAATGGCGAAAGCGAACAAAAAATACATTGCTTTCATGACCGAGTTGGGCAACTACTACTACAACGTAATTTCCTTCGGCCTAAAAATGTGGGCGCTACATATCAAGGCACGATGAACAAAGTCTTCCGCAACGAGATAGGCGACATGCTCGAAGTCTACATGGACGAGATTATCGTCAAATCCACGGAAGAGGTCAACCACGCCCTCAACTTAAAGAAAGTGTTTGAGCAGGCCAGAAAGTGTCGGATGCCATTTAACCCAGAAAAATGTACCTTTGGCGTGCGCGCGGGCAAATTCCTTGGATTCTACCTAATAGAACGAGGCATTGAGGCAAACCCCGACAAATTTCGAGCATTTTCTGAATTTCCAACACCCACTTCAAAAAAGTCCATTCAAATCTTGAACGACATGCTCACCTCCCTCTCTCGATTCACAGTGAAATCTGCCCAGCACACACTCCCCATCTTCAAGCTCCTCCACGAGGAAGCTGCCTTCGAGTGGACGCCCGAATGCGAGGAAGTTCTCACCCACTTAAAGCAAGCGTTATCGCAATCGCCTATCTTCTCTCGACCAGAGAAGGATGAAATCCCCTATCTCTATCTGGTTGTCGCCTCCGAGGCAATAAGCGTGGCACTAATCAGAGAAACCCTAGAAGAACAGAGACCAATCTACTTTACGAGCAAGGCCTTGCAAGGCCCAAAAATGAGATATCAACAAATTGAAAAGGTGGCCCTAGCCCTCGTTAACACAGAAAGGAGAGTTAGATATTACTTCCTGGCGCATACCATAATCGTCCAGACGGATCAACTAATAAAACAGCTGCTCGGAAGACCTGACATGGCAGGCAGAATGTTGAAATGGTCCTTAGAAATCTCCGAATTTGATATCCAGTACGAGGGAAGGAAAGCCCTCGAGGCTCAAGCATGGGCCGACTTTGTGGCTAAAATGACCCCGCCCGCATGCCCGGACGGAGCACGCCGGTGGACAATCTTCATCGCTGGCGCCTCTAGTTCGACGGGAAGTGGCGTTGGCATTATATTAGAAAATGGATAAGGAACCTTAATCGAGGTCGCTGTCGCGTTATCTTTTCCAACCTCGAACAACCAGGCTGAATACGAGGCATTCTTGGCAGGCTTACGCCTGGCCGAAGATCTGGGAGTCGAGGAAGTGAAGATCTTCATTGACTCTCAACTACTTGTGTCCCAAGTCTGGGGGGAATATTAGGTGAAAAATGACCAACTCGCTGAATATTGGGCCATGGTCTAGGAGAGGAAAAAGAAATTCAAATTTGTGGACGTGCAGCATGTTTCCCGCGAACATAATGCTCACGCAGACATTCTATCCAAACTGGAGAGCACGAAGAGGAAAGGGGGAAACAAGTCGGTGATACATGAAATCCTTCCTCGACCAAGCACCCATAAACCCCTCCTCAACTTTGGAAGTATTCGCCATAGGGGACAGCGATCACTGGATGACCCCCGTACTAAAATACCTCACAAAAGGAAAGTTATCCGCCGACTCGAAAGAAGTAGTCATTATCAGACAAAGAGCTTTCTCGTATGTCTTGATCGATGGTAAACTTTATAGGAGATGATTTTCCATTCCCCTCCTCAAATGTGTTGACCGAAGCGGTGTGGATCGTATCCTGCTCGAAATCCATGAGGGGATGAGTGGCCAACATCTGGGCGGAAGATCCCTCGCCAGGAAAGCTCTATGAACAGGATATTGTTGGCCCACCATGCAGCACGATGCAAAAGAACACGTGAAAAAATGCGACAAATGCCAGCGACACGGGGACATGCATTTAGCTCTCCCAAACGAGCTCAAGTCCCTATCTTCTTCCTGGCCCTTCGCCTAGTGGGGATTGGACCTTCTCGGTCCATTTGCAGTGGGGACCAATAAAATAAAAATATTTGATAGTAGTCGTCGACTACTTCACCAAATGGATAGAAGCTAAAGCATTGGCCAAAATCACCATCCAAAACGCCGTTCGCTTCTACAAAAGAAACATCCTTGCTCGATTTGGCATCCCACAAGAAATAGTCACCGAAAACGGGACCCGATTCACATATCACACCTTTCAGGAATTCGTCGCTAAGTTGGGCACCACCCAGCACTTCGCATCTGTCCAGCATCCCCAAACAAATGGCCAGGATGAATCCGTAAATATGGTGATACTCAGGGGCCTCAAATGAAGATTAGACGAGACCAAAAAAAGGTTGGTCGAGGAGTTACACATCATACTCTAGGGATACTGAACAACGACGCACTCGTTAACCTGGGAGACTCCTTTCAGACTGGCTTACAGAATAGAAGTTGTCATTCCCATAGAGATCAAAAAACCCTCTTGGCGAACCGAAGCTCCCCCAGACGAGGAGATGAACGACGTCGGCCTTCGAGAGGAATTAGATCTGGTCAAAAAAATCAGAACAGGAAAGGCCCTACGAGAGACCTCTCTCAAACAAAAAATATCCATATGCTACGACGCTAAAGTTATACGACGAGATTTTGAGGTCGGTAGTCTTGTCTTAAAGAGAAATCGCAAAGAATCTGCGAAGGTAAGCTCGCAACAAACTGGGAAGGCCCTTATTGCATCTATGAAAAAACAGGGACTGAGGCGTATTACTTAGAAAATCTACAAGGGGAACAACTCGTTCGATCATGGAATGTTGAAAAGCTAAAACAATATTACAGTTAAAACACTAAGCAGGCGGCGAGCCTCATCAACGAGACAAACTCATCCAGGCCCAGCCAGACGTGCATTCCTAGGTACAAGCATAGCATCCAAGTTATATTGAAGGGGCGATACTCCTCTCCTTAAACGAGCGAGACCTCAGCCCGACATGGATAACTCAATCGAGCTTCATCGTCCCCGTACCAAGACGATAAAACACTTGAATCGCGACGGGAAGTTCACACCGCCGAGCTCATGTCCTTGAAACGAAACCTGAGTTTCGGCCCATGCCCGGCATTTGCCCTGGCTGTTTGTCCGGTTCCCCCACACCGGTGAACACCCAAACTAAACGAGCAGGTCCCCACTACAAACTCATAGCAAAACTGAATATGTCTCGAGCATACAAACATCACAACAAACATGCAAACACAAATATTTAAAATTGAAACAAACGGACGTTAAGGCCGCCATTGTACGAATTTCTTACAAAAATGAGGGCCCTGGCCCCACATCCAAAGCGAAATCGTGGTCACGAGAACCACATTTGTTCAAAAATTACATAAACTGGAACATGCCCGGAAACAAGATTACAAAATAATGGCTCGCGGGTCGGAGCATACTAAGAAAATTATCAAAACATTATTCTTCTATTTTTTCATCGGCAATGGGGATAGTTGAGAAGGTCCCCCGGCAGGCTGGGCAGCAAACTCT